CGATAGCCCATTCCATTGCTACCCAACCTTTGTGATGCCAGAGAAACCATTCCTCAAAGATCATGCCCGCACCCGAAATGTCTCTCGCCAAGTGCCTCGAGCTCCTCAATATTGATCTCATCTGCGAAGAAATCGCTTCTCTTTATCATTGCAAGAGACGTCTCGTTCACAATAGTCTTGGGGATGAGTTCATGGCCCTTCATAGAGAGGATCGAGACCATGTGCGCCGCAGCCTAGAAGAATCTTATTAGGTCGCTAGTGAAAACGTAATGTGTACTGATGGGGCTTACCTTGGCGTTGTAAGTGATGGTCTCTGCATCTGGGTTGTCGATCGTGTCACAGGCTTGATGGTAACAGTCGTCCTGCGCCACCCCAGTCCCGGTGTTGAGGAAACCAAAAGGCTTGTTCAAAATGCCCCAGAACGATGCATAGTCGCTGCCGTTGGTGAGAATGGCAGGCGTCGTCTCCAATCCCTGAGCCTTGAACCAGTCGAGGTAGATCTGCTGGATAACCTCGGAACCGCGTGGTGCAACTGAGCCATATGCACGGCCGTCATTATCGCTGACGCCAAAGTAGCCCCTCGAAACCATGTCGTAGTTGAGATAGGCTAAAATGTTGTTTACTTCCTTGGTTTCGAGGTTCTGGCAGTAGTGTTTTGAGCCAAGAAGACCGTACTCCTCGGCTCCCCACCATGCGAACCTGACCTTGTTCTTGAATCGATATTTCGTCAATGCTTTGAAGATTTCCAGGACTAGACTGGTTCCCGAGCCTTGTTTGAGTCTGTTAGCGACCATCGAGATATGGCACAAACTCCCAACTGGCCTGGGCAGACGCTCTTACCATCGTCATTGATACCGGGACCAGCCTGGACACTGTCAAGATGAGCGCCGAGCTGCGTCCATTTCGATTAGCTCCATGACACATATACATTCGAAGAAAATGGTGGCCAACTCACCACGATCACGTTAGACGGGTCACCGTCCGCCGTCTCAACAAATACATTCTGAGTGACCCGTTGCTCCACCAGCTGCGTTTGTTGAAAGTGTGCCTCCACCGTCTCACCAGCCTCAATACGTGCAATAATGGCCTCGCCATCTGCCTTGTGAATAAATCCCGTTGGTGCATAGGCCTCCAAATTGACTTCACCAAACGACCCGGCTGTGGGTTTCGTAGTGAGATCATGGTAGATGATCACGGCCGCTGCACCTCGCGCCGCAGCAGGCTTCACTCGGCCTGCCAATGTGCCGCCCGTAGGGCAGCGGAACCGCTGTGTCAGAACGATTTTGCCCTTCACGTCAAGACCATTATAGCTCTCTTCACTGCACCCAGCCTCGCCGGCGGGGCCGAGGACAACTTCTGCCGTGATGCCTTCCTGTGACGTTGAAGGGGAGTAGGCTATGCCGAAGACATAGAGATCCTCGTCTTTCACCTTCAACGAGATGGTTTGGACCTCAGCGAACCTGTGTGGCTTCTTAGTACAGTGATCTGAAAGTGGGCGGGAAGTTTAGCTGACCAGGCAGAGAAGTCTTGCTTCCAAGCCTTTGTGCCATTGAATCCAGAAATCTGAGACCAAACGTAGTCAACCGATGCGGCAAAACCGGGGAGGCCAAAGGCACGGTTTCCGTTTCCTTTCTCAAAAGCGATGTTGTTGAGAGCTTCCAGATGATCCCAAAGGCTTTGCGCAAGGTTCGATTAGCTGAATGATTTACTCATAAGGGACCAGTAACCCATGTCCTCACTTTTCAGTTTTAATATCCGCCTGTAAGCTTTCAGAATCGACCTTGGGCTTGCACTCTGCTGCTGAGGCGGAAGAAGCCAAGAAGGCCAGAGCTATGATGGGTTGAGTGTACTTCATGTTGCGTAGACAATTGGCGAGAATTCAAACGAGAACCCCACTGAACAGAAAGAAACCTGAGAAGGAAGAAAAACAAGATAGGAACAGAATGAAGCGTTTCTTGCTTTATATGAGACACTCATCCAAGCGGTTCCCTCCCTTGGCTTCACCCTATGAGTTGCCTATTTAGGAAGATTGATCCACGTTATCAACCACTCGGTCAAAGAATGCCAAGTTCTTTTGAGTCGCAGTCCCATGCGGGGTAATCTAGGAGCATATTTGGAGATTTGGTAACTTTTGCAGGTTCTGCTCTGGGATGGCGTGCTCTCATCCTAGTTCTAGTGGATAGTTATCGATCTGAGGAAGCAAAGGCTCCTCACTTAAAGTCTGAATCCCACAATGCGTCTCTAGAGCCATTGAACATGGTTTCTCTCGAGAATAATGAGGAAGGTTCATAGCATGTATTTCTGCTTTCGACGAGAACATTGCCCTTATCGATTAGTTCCTTTCCTGTCACACTAGTCACGCAACAAGCAGGCTTGGCTCGAGAACGTTTGTTGGGGCGAGACATCAAATAGGCAGGTGGTTGGGCGAAGTGGATGTGAAAAGTTGGTTAAAGCATTGAAGCGTGCATTAGGTAGGAATGGTGAAATATGCTTATCCAAAACATCCCCGGCTCTGCCGTTGGAGCAATAGGAGACGGAGCCGCCCAAAGGGAGTTATCCCTCGGTGAATAACAGCTCCGCCCGATACTAATCTTGTATCCAATAAACAGTACTAGCATACCTATGAATAACTGAACACACCGACAAGCCAGGAGTCATAACCTAGCTATAGTTATGTAGGTTGGCTACAGAAAAATGAGACGCCGCAAACTGGGCGTTGATGAAAAAATAAACGTGGGTGGCGCCCTGTTCTTGGAATAGTAGAAGCCCCATGAGGGCTTTTGGATAAAAATCACTTCGCACATATTGCGCTGTCTAAAACACTGTAAGAGTATTGACGTAACCGTTCTTCAAAACCTCAAACACCATACCAGGGAACCCATAAAGGGTCGTCGTCGTCGAATCGCCGTTGGCCTCAGCTCTGCGAGCACCACTTTCTTCCCAACCCCCAAGCAACTCGCAGCTGCTGCCTGGACTGTCTCCCCAGCCACGGTTCAGGACCATGCCTCTTTGCCGCGGTTGCGTGCCCTGGCCCGGGCGAGTTGGCGCCCACTTCTCGTTCATACGAACCTCTACATCTTTGAAGAGCAACTCAGAGTTGGCAGGTCCTTCCTCCGGCTTCTCAGGAAGACACCCAATTTCCCAGCGGCAGCGCCGATGGCGATTGAATTCATACGAACCCGGCACGTTGCCGTGAACGACGAGCTTGGTGGCGACAAGTCTATCCGGAGAATGATTTTTGATGTCACTTGGAACTATTTCTTCCTGACCAGCTTGCCTGGGGGGCGTTGGAGATATCGGTACAGGGGTTGACAACAGCACATCAAAGCCGAGGAAAAAGTAGTTGTAAAAGCACTCCCCTGATGGGTTCCGTGCAAACTCCTCGACGGCAGCCTCGTTGTCCGAGTCATCCGAACCGGTGTTCATTGAGGAATGATCCGTGTCGGTCAAGTCGTCAGGCCTTCCCAGCTCACCAGCGCTTGGCCTGCTGCGTGTATGGCTCGCTGTGCGAAGTTTGTGGATTACCATCTTCTGATCGTTCTTTCTATAGATTGCACTTGGCGGGCCGAGCTCCCTTATTAAATCCTGTGGGGATGTTTCTCCCAGTTTGATCACAAATGCGTTGTTCGTCCACTTCCGGAACAGCTCCAGCTTCCCGCCGCCTTGTATCCGGATCAGCGAAATCTCATCAGGCGCAACATCCTTGCTACGGGGAACAATGGACGTGAGCTTAACACTGGGAAGGATTTCGGTCCACAAAGTATTTCGAGATTCGGCCCACGAGACCCCGCTGAAGATAGCCATCGACGTTGCCGTTTGGCTTGAAGACGAGGAAAGTAATGATACGACATCCTTATCTGGCGAGTAGGCTGACGCTGGCAGCGAAAAGTTGAAAGCAACACCAGGATAGGAGAGTACGTAAATCCCTTCTTGTTGGCCATCCGTCGGTGGAAGATACTCTCCTGCATACGTTGGCCCTAGAAGTCTATGGTAGATGTGTCTAAATGTTGGTCCCAAGGACCCGTCGCTGGTGTTTGTCGGGGCTGGTGCCGTCGTGCCGTTAAGGGGCCTTACGAGGTCTTTGTCGTTGAACGTAATGTGGCTCTTGTTGAAATCGACGACTTCTATGAGTCTTAACCGCTGTTCAGGTCCATCGAAGCGTAGTCGGATCCCGTTGAGAGGAAGATAGATACAGACAGGCTCTGTTACAGGGCTCTTCGGGTCATATAATATGTCGATTTTGGGGAATCGCTGAGGCTCAGCCTTGAGACGCGTCAGAATATCGTGCAACGAGGCTCCGAGGGCTGCATTTCAGACAGTCAGTCCAAGTCGAAACTAAAAGGGACATGAATACCGCCCTCCCATACCTATGAAGCCAAGCCCACGGCCAGGCTGGAGCTGTGCAGAGAAATGCGACATGGCCGACCGCGGGGCAAAGGGTCCCCTGAAACCGATCAATAGCGGGGTTCTCGTCCCTGTTACTTGCGGTCTGGTACTGGTGAGATGGGGTCGCGGTGCTTTAGCTGTAAAGAAACCCAGAATAATATGGAAAAAGGGAGAAAATAAGTCGATTGTCAGCGTGCGAGTTAATCGAGGGCCTCTTTGAGGGAGGCGTCGTGATGCGAGCCATGTGACTGTAATGCCGGCGCGCCTATGACGTGGGGCAGCGACACCACATGCCACAGCTGATAAGCGATAGTGGTGGATAAGGTAGGCCGAAACAAGGGCCCACGGCTAACTGTGGGTGATTCACGGTTTTACTGGTCGCTAAGCAAGGGACTTTACCCACTGTCTGCTAGCGCTTGAGATGGCCAGAACTCAACGGTTGACGCTGGTCTGTGTTGGTGATGAAAGGACTGGAGCACGGGCACAGGATACAGAGTTGAGAAACTACCAGTAATAGCATCAACGCTACCTATACAATCATTTTACACCGTTACAAGCACATAGCCCGGTACCTGGCAGACAAGTCGAAACGTCCGAGTTCCTTTTCGTATTCATTACCACTCGTGGACCTCACCGCTGGCAGGCTTCTGCATGCGAACCACCTTGTCGCAGTTCAACAAGCACTGGGGATCGAAGGCATTTTTGATCTATAAACCGGTATCCGTCAGTAATCGATTTGCACGATAAATATCTAGGGAATGGAGTTCCTACCAGGCGCATAGCGTCAACAGTCGTCTCGCCCAGCTCATGGGGCAGGTAGTCTCTCTTCACTAAACCGACACCGTGTTCTCCCTAGTACTTATGTTAGAAGAATTTCCTTGAGTGGATGAGCGCAGGGGAAAGATTCCATGGCCTACCGTGACTGTTCCCTCCAACTCAACTGCTCGCTTCACCATGCGGTGAACAACAGCTTCTGCTTTAGCCCTCTGAGCATCGTTGTATAATAGGATACCTGCTGAATGTTAGCGCGATCCCGTTCCACATGCTTTATTGCGCTCTTCTTGTACGTACTGTGGAAGTTCCCGTCTCCTACATGGCCGACAATGGTTCCAAAGAGACCGCTCTTCTTCATATCCTGCTTGGTCTCCTCGATCAGGTCCGGCAAGTGGCTCACAGGAACAGCCACGTCGCCAGTCCAGACCCGGTCACCCTCCTTCTTGACGGCCAGAGCGCTCCACAGAGCCTCTTTCCTGGCACTCCAGAGCTCGTCTTGTTCTTCATGACTCTTGGCGAAATCAAAGCTCTTGCTGCCGACCTCCTTGGCCAGGGCCTGGACCTGGCCGACCTGCTCCTTGACTCCGTTGGGAGTGCCGGCAAACTTGAAGAAGATGGTGGGTGCTTCCGTCCAGTGGCGCGAAGTTGCTCCAGCTTCGTTGATGCACTTCATCTGGTTGTCATCCAGGATTTCAACGGCAGCGACGGGGATACCCTGGCCAACAACCTTGCTGACGCAGGTGGCGGCGTGGTGGATACTAGGGAACGAAGCGACGGCGACGCTGGTATGCTCAGGCTTGACGGCGAGCTTGAGGGTAGCCTCAGTGACGAGGCCAAGAGTACCCTCGGACCCGATGAACAGCTTGGTGAGGTCATAGCCAGCAGAACTCTTGCGCGGGCGTTGGCGGGTCTTGATGACGGTCCCATCAGCCAGGACAGCAGTGATGCTCAGAACCCACTCGCGCATGGTACCGTATCTGTAGGCATTTGTACCACTGCAGCCAGTTCCAATCATGCCGCCGATCATGGCGCCTGGGCCTGGGTCAGGAGGGAAGAAGAGCCCATCCTTGCCCAGATCCTCGTTGAGCAGCTCCCAGCGCACGGCGGGCTGAACCACGACGTCGAGATCTTCCTTGTGCAGAGCCAGAACCTTGTTCATTCTCCCGAAGTCGATCGAGATGCCCTTGCGGGTATGTGTGAAGTGGCCCTCCAGACTGGTGCCGCCGCTGTAGCCAACAACGGGGATCTTTCGCTTGTGGCAGATCTTCATGATCTCGGAGACCTCCTGTGTAGAGCCTGGGTAGACGACGCAGAACGGCCGTTCCTCGGGCTTGGGCTTGTGGGAAGACCAATCAGATGTAGCATGGTGGTCAATGTCGGTCTCGAGGGTGCTGACATGATCCTTTCCAACAATCTTGAGGAAATCTGCCCAGGCAGCCTGCATATTCTCGAGCTTCGTATTGTGGCGGATTTCTTTTGCGGTTGCGAGACGATAGGTCGAGGCTTTTTCTTCTTCGCGGTGCCAGAAGGTTCCCAGCCAGTATGAAATACCGACCATGCCCAGGACGACTGCAGCACACTGGTGTCAGCGCAACAAGTCCAATTGAGGTCGAGGGTCCTGGAGAACCACTCGGTACGGTTGAGGATCACTTACAGAGGGTCAAAGTCCAATTCCTGCTGGGGTCAGTGACCTCGCGCCAATGCTCGTAGCGATCTCGCTCCTCGCGCTCGCGCTGGATTCGCTGGCCAATGCTGCCCTGGACTTGGCCCTGGAAGGACCGGCCGAGCTTCACCTCATTGCCCTGGCGAGGGGCCTTGGGCTCGACGTCGGTCGCGTAACATCGAATTCTGGGGACGGCGACGACTCTCTGGAGTGCGCGGTACGACCGGAGAGTCGCCGGGTTTGGCATTTTCTGTCGCAGGCTCGCCATGGCTGCTCGGTTGGCAGTCATGGAGGGAATGAGGGAATTGGCCGCCTTTTGTGCTCAAACCACGAAGAGCTCGGTAAGGCAGTCGACCAGTCTCTCGCTTCCCTGAGATTGCTGGATGCCGCTAATTCGGTTATGTGTGGTTGCGTTCGGTAATGGGAGCTCGCCAAATTTATTTGAGAGCTGATCAATAAATCCACTATAATAATCCATTGCGTGCTGGCCCCATGCAATGGTCTTTTCACAGTGGGACCTGCCAGATAGCTGCTACGCCCAATAACCGCCCATACGAGATCCCTGGATCTTGCAGGCGCATTATCGTCCCCCACACCTCGTGCGTGGGCAAGCATTCGATTTCTAAAATCTCCGCTGCGAAATCGGAGGCCCTGTATCGCTGCGATAGACAAGGATGCAAATGGGTTGAGCACGCAATCACTGTGTCTGCACCGATTCAACTATCATGACAAAGATATAATGGGGCCCTCTGGATGTGTATATACACCTTTTTCTCCTTGATAAGTCTCAGAATACCTGCCTAGCTTTGCATTAGGCAGAACCCCTCCATAGCCTGATGGTCTCTAACCGCGATCCAAGGCGGGGTAACATGGATAGAGTTAATCATGGGACGAAACCGATGGGGTAGCATCGGCCTTGAAGGGCCAAACTCACACCGAAAGCTTTGCACCCAACTTCGGTTATCTCACCACCCCTCGCTCTTGGTGGCTGAGGAATCCAATGAACAACCAACGTTTTGGCCATTACCGAGCTTCAGCATTCGGTTATCCCATCCTTCCTTTTCACCGACTCGCTGGGCGTTTCAACTCACATCGCCACCATAATATTATAAGCGCTCCAATCCTAACCTATGTTATTTATGGCTGCTTCCAGACCAGCTGTACGCGGAAGGTGGGCGCAGCCCCTTGGAGATGCGACATGTAAGCTCTGAGCTCTTCGTCGTCTTCAATCTTTAGTGGCACTTCTACTCCCATCCCACCTTTCACGATGCCCTCTATTCGAGCGCAGAATGCATCAGGGTGTCTTTCTGACACTATCCTCCTCACTTCCATGACAGATGGTTCATTCATGGTCGCGATCCAGAGAGGGGCTGTAGGGAAACCAGATGCCAGATGCAGGCGGAAGTAGGCAGCCACCGGTTCGACTTGCATCGGCTGTGTGTTCTGGAAAGCAGTCGCAGCAGCCTGGAATAGAAACTGCTGCTGAGAGTCTTCCTGAATCGCAGAGGGGACTTGGTGATCTGTAGCCGACAGGTCCGGCATGCCAGAAACTGTAACGTGGGCATGAGAGGCGGATGTTTGACCTACGGTTCTGAGGACGCCACCGGCTGCTGGTAGCTTAGTCGCGGTCCGACCATAACGAGACTGCAGGTTTTGTGAGGCCATCGTATTGTAACTTGGTTCGTTCTCGGGTCCAGTGTTACTTAGGAGCCCAATAGGATCGCCGCCAGCCACCTGTGAGTTGCCGGCGTCAAGCATAGACGAAACGTTCGAACGTTGTGATATTGGAACTGTAGGCTGCTTCTGCTTGTGATGGGGTACGTACTCGCCGTTTTGCTTTTGGGTTTGCTGAATTCTTGCAATTACGTTTTTGGCAAGGAGTTCAATCGCGCGATAGGTTTTGTTATAGTCAACATGATCAGGGCTGAGGTCGATTGCCCGTTGCACTGCCTCGCATTTCTCCCCCCATTGCTTTTTAAGCTGCCTCCATTCAGTGGCTGTGACGTCGGATTTATAGCTGCAATTCGCATCGCGAAGCACTTCGCATAAGGCCTCCCGCATCTTCCTCGCTTCATTAGGGTTCAACCCCAGGATGTTTTTTGCTTCTGGGAGGCTAATCTTTTTCGTCGCCACACGTATTCGCTTGGTGACATTTGAGCAGATGATTTCCAGGGCCAACGTCTTCATTTCCAAATTGTCGGGGAATCTCACCAAGGCCCTTTGTAATTGCGGAATATCTGAAATAAGTTGGCCCTTTAGAGTTTCCCACAGTTCAGACGAGACAGAAGTCTTCTTCAGAATCCCGTTTTGCTGACAGCTGTTTCTAAACTGTGAGGCTAGTTGCTGATATTGAGCGTCGTCGAGGCTTAAAAGCAGGCGGGCCTCCTCGATTGTCATTTCTGAAGGGAACCTAGATGATGTACCGTCTGGTTTTTGGGAATGGCGCGCTCTTCCCCGTCTCTCTGATTGGGACCCAGGCTGTATGACGGGTTCAAATTGGGTCTCTGCGAGAATGGCCGCGGCTGGCTGAACTGGGGTGATTTGGTGGGAAGAAGGCTGCTCCTTTGCAGGAGTAGATGACGTATCGCCTGCTGCTACTAATGGCCGGGAGATGCGAAGAGAAAGCTTGTGCTGGGCCCGGATCTGTTTGAGATCGCGGGTATCGATCTTCCATCCCCCTTCCTTGACCACAATCTCCAGAATCTCGGGGTGCGATAAGTTCTTGCCCCATAGTTCTTTGACACGCGCCACGAGTTTCTCGTCGTAAATTTCAGTTTTGTGCTTCTTTTTGAAACCCCATCGGGAGATATGGAGCTGCCATGATCGACGACTGTTAAGGTTGTGAGTCAATAGCTTTTGTACAAAAGTGTGCACATCGACCCAAGAGAGTGTGCTCGGTTCGAGAAAGCTTGCATACCTTGGGGTAAAATCGTGAACTGTTTTCATAAAATCTTGAATCTCATCGAGAGTCCTTCCCTCATCTATATAGAGCCGCCTAATCAAGGGTTTATGTATCTCCCACTTGAAAGTCATGCTTCACATTCTTGCGCTTTTGGCTGTCCGATACGGCGTACTGAGTCTGGGGTAGTGGGTAAGTAGGGAGTAAGAATTGCGCTTCGTGGGTTTATGGTCGACCATATTGACAGCGGGAAAAAAATATTAGTCATCATCCGTTCGATGCAGTAGGTACCTTCTCTCCAATCTTCACCAAAATATATCTATCTGTTGAACATTGTAATTTGCAATCATCTGACCATGAGCACCAGATCGCCAATTCCATTCTAGGGCGGAACTTGAAAGCTTGACTGTAGAGCTCAGAGCTGGGCTAAGGTTGATCTGTGGCTGGCATGGAATATTCATTGCCCAGGCAGGGACCTCGGCTCCACAGCCGCGGCAGCTTCCCCTCATGGCGATGAACCGTTCACTTTGATGCGTCCGGGGAAGAATAAGGGGTGAAGGATAAGGTATGCCGTTTTTCTTATTTAAATATTTATCCAAGTTCCTCATCTGGGCTAGAATTACGCCTATCTGCTGTCACCAACGTCTGTATCTAAACCCCCCACAAAATGGCACCAAATGTACCTGAGAGCTACAGCACATGGGCCCTTCCTGGCCTGATCCTCTCACACCACCCTGAATCGTCAGCAGCCGTGACGCCTGTCGTTATCGTCAAGCTCCATCGCCCAGCCGACCGCAATGGCTTCACGGACGAGCTTTCAAAGGCTCTCATCACCGCCTTTGACACGCTCTCCGTGGACCCCCGCGTCAAGTGCGTCGTTCTGACCTCGAGCGACCCCGCCAACAAGATGTTCTGCGCCGGCATGGACTTCAACGCCAAGCACAGGATGTACCCCTCGTATGACACCCATCGAGACAGCGGCGGCCAAACCACGCTCGCCATGTATCGATGCAACAAGCCCATCATCGCCGCCATCAACGGCAGCGCGGTCGGCATCGGCATGACCATGACGCTGCCCTGCAACATCCGGGTGGCGAGCAACAAGGCCAAGGTCGGCTTCGTTTTCAGCCGCAGAGGGTTCAACATGGAGGCGTGCAGTAGCTTCTTCCTACCACGTCTCATCGGGACCGCCAAGGCTCTGCACTTGACCACCACAGGAGCTGTGTACCCGGCCGACCACAAGCTCCTGAATGATCTCTTCAGCGAGGTGGTTGACCCCCACCTGGTCTTGCCGACCGCACTGGCCATCGCAGAGGATACTGCTAGAAATACAAGCATTGTAGCATCAAGGGTCAATAAGGACCTGATGTATCGCGGGCCAAGCACCCCCGAGGAGGCGCACCTGCTGGAGAGCAAGGTCTTCTACGATCTGGCCAGGAACCGGGACGCGCAGGAAGGAGTCCAGAGCTTTTTGCAGAAGCGAGCCCCGGATTTCCAGGGCACCATAGAGGAGGACAGTCCCACGGCGTATCCCTGGTGGACACCCATCGATGTTAGGGAGACTCGCCCCAAGCTTTAGATTTTTCCCTCTCGATTTTTTTTTTTTAAATTGCACCAACTGTATGAAAATACGTGATCGGACATGATTAGTTGACTCGGCTTGTTAGTAATGTAAACATGATGATAACTGCATCCTGTTTCCTACTTGATCTATCGTGAAACGCTGGTGGCAACGGGCGGGCGTGTAGTTAATCTAATATTAATAAAAGTAGATCTAATATTAAGTGGGTCCTAAGACCTAAAGGTAGTAAGAAATTTATAAATACTTAGTATATATATAGATTTATATAGTATTAACTTTTTATAATAAACTATAGAAAATTAAGTAAGTATATAAAAATATTCTAATATTTAAAGGTTAAGGGAAGGATCTAGGTATATATAGTATATCTACCTATAAATATAACTTTTAACCCCTTTATAATCCTAATTCTAATAAGTATATATCTAGTACTTACTAAGCTATAGAGATAAAAGAAGAGGAATTTATTAAATAATAGGGGGAGGTTATATACTTTAGACTTAATAGGGTAAGTATATATATAGTATATATTAAAAAGCTATATTAATATTATACTAGATTACCTTAATAATAAATAAAACCTCTATTAATAATACCTTTAATATTCCTAAAGAGCTTTTAATATCTACTAGCTTTATAATTAATAAAAGGGGGGTATATATTATTATAGTTTAAAAGGTTATTAATTATATAGCTCTTCTAAGCTATTTAAAGGCTAATAAAGATAGTATTCTCTATTAGCTCCTTTTTATTTATCTAATTATAATTATATAAAATATAAAAGTAAAAGGGATAATAATAAATTTTATATTTACTATATTTATTATTCTTTATTTTTTTCTATTATAATATATACTAACTATATAGTATAATAGATTTAATTTAGACCTATAATCTAAAGTAAGAGAAAAGCTAGCTTTTTAGAACTAAAGTACTTATAAGTCTTAATTTATATATATTATATATATACTAATAATCTATATTAAGAAGTAAGGGTATTAAGGGGCTAGTAAATAGGTTTTAGTATATACTCTATAAATATAGAGGAATTAAAGCTTATACTAAGATTAATTAATCTCTTACTAAATATTAAGATCTATAGAATAATAGCTTTAACCTTTAGTAGATTAAAAGTATATATAAGGTATATACTATAAGGCTTAAAGGATATAATATTAATAAGATTATAAAATAGAGAATAAAAGAGTAAGTTATATAGTCCTTTTATCTATAAGTATTTACTAAGTATATACTTAATAGAACCTTTATAGCCTTTTAAATACTATAGGAGAGTACTAAATAGTATTACTATCTTTAAGATAGTAATAGATATAAGGTAGATATATATTATAAAGATTAGTAGATAACCTTCTTTTAAGTTAAAGATAGTTACTAGGTGGGTTACCCTTAACTTAATATATCTTTATAGTATTAAATATAGTATATAGATATACTAAGTATAAGCTTAGAATATCTTTAGTATATAGTAGAGTATTATAACTTAAACCTAGAAATATAAGCTATTTAAGATATTTATTCTTTTTAGGATATTATAAGTATAAGATAAAAGATCTATAATAAGCTATACTTAGTATATACCCTATATCTAGTAATATACTAATTCTTTAGTTTTTTATTATATATAGAAATAGAGGCTAAAAAAAATTATATATAAAGTTAAATTTAACTTTTATCTTCTAGAAAACCTTTAATACTTTCCCTTCTATTTACTAGCTATTTAAGGCTTATATTATTATATACCTCTACCTCCTAAGTATATACTAAAGGATATTATATAAGCTATTAAAATAGCTTTAGCTAAAAGAGAGGATATTCTTATATTATAATAGTTAGTAGACTTATACTAGATAGAGGTCTAAGGTAAGTTAGGGTTATAACTAATTAGAGTATTATTCTAAGAGGGTAATTAAATTATCTTAGTACTATATAAGTTACTACTAATATATAAGTATTAAAAAGCTAGTTTTAATAAAGGTAGTAGTAATTATATTAATAACTATTTAAGAGAGTATTTCTATTTAAGAAATAAATATATATATATACTATAGTAATATATCTAATATAGAATATATCTATAGTAATTAGTATATATTATAAGTTAATATATAAGATATTAACTATATTATATTTCTATATATAACTAGGTATAATAATTAAGGGAAGTAAAATAGGTATATAGAGGTAGTTTATAATATAATACCCCCTCCTATTAGTTTTATCCTTAAGACTATATTTAGTAGCCTAATTAGTATATACTTAACCTCCTTCCTTTATTATTTATACTAATACTATATTATCTAGTTATATTTTAAAAATAAGGGTGCTAAAAACTAAGTTATCTATAGTTTATAGAAACACTTTACTTTTTACTATTCTAAATAATCCTTCTATTATATTAGTATATTCTTACTATAAAGGTTATAGTAAGTATTTTTACTAAGCGTCTTTATTAAATTCCTCTTATTATATAGATTATATATTATATAGCTAATTACACTATAATATCTAAGGCTTATCTATATAGTAGATTCATTATATTAAGGCTTATTATTAATAAGCTAAGAAGGAGCTAGATATAGTAGAGGAGGAGCTAGAGTATATAAGTACTAGAGTAAGGTATCTATATAAATAAAAGAAAATATAGCTTAATAAAATAATATAAGTAGTATCTTATAGTATTAATAATATTAAGGAGCTAGAATAAGTAGAGCGAGAAGAGGCTAAGGAGGAGGTATAAAAACTAGCTACTCCTATTACTTCTATATCTTTATTTAAGCCTATATTCTTAGAGATTAAGATTAATCTAGTATTCCTTTAAGAGGGTATAAAGCTATCTCCTTCTTAGTTTATTAGGATAAGTATTTCTAGCCTTAATAATATTATTAAATAAGCTAGTAATAGTTCTTTAAGTACTTAATAGGTTTTTATATATTATCCTTATTAATATACCCCTTTTATTTAATTAAGTAAAATACTTACCTATTTCTAACTTCTTTCTTTAGGATTTTTTCTAGTTTAAATTCTTCTTTATAAACTTTAATTAGATAATCTTAGTTTAATATATTTTCTAATACTTTTTTAAGTAATAAGATATAAAAGACTAAGTAGATATATATAGTATTTAGTAATAATAGTTTATAGTTAGTATCTAATTTTTTCTTTAAGATTTTAAATAGTTTAAGTTTTTTATAGTTTAATTTATTACTTAATCTTATTATTATAATATTTTTTTAAAGTAAATAAACTTTATCTCCCTCCTCTAAGATTAATCTCTTTAATCTTATTTTATTATAATATTTCTTTATTCTTTATTATATAAATTTTAGTTTAACTTATATTTCTATATATAATAAATATAATATTTCTTTTATAAGTATAGTAATAGGTACTATTAGTCTATTAAGTTTTAGTTTACCTAAGAACTTTAGTTTATATCTATAGTTTATATATATTAATAATAATTAAATTAACTTTTATACTATACTATTATATATAATCTATACTATAGGTAATAGTTATATTTAATTATCT